TGTCGCTCTGAGAGAAACCGCTTCCGAGCTGAATACAGTCGTGCGTACCAAGCTGAGCCACCATGATGATGGTGATGATGATGGCCCAGAACTGGTTAGCTGCAACGTTTCCCTGCACATGCGGGCAACATCGATTAGACGCCGGTTAGACGATTTTCATGGAATATTTTTATCCTAAAAAAAAATTTAGCGCCAATTGTAATGCTTTTTTGTGGGAATGAGTTTTTTTACGTGTTAAACTACATGGAAGTCAGACTTGGGGGAGAACTCACTACCTACCGGGAGCAGAGGAGAAAAATCGACCAAAAATTGAGTAAAAAACGTAATAACGGAGCAAACACAGAAGGATGTAGAAAACAACTGGAAGCGCCGAACCCCAGGGACGAACTGGGAATGGCCTGTCGAAATCTGATTTATCCCAATTCAGTAACTGGAATTTTTGAGTACACGAACGGATGAGCCCAATGCGTAATTGTATAAAAAAAAAAAAAAATGCGAAAGAAACCTGACCTTGAAAAACTAAACTTTTGTGGACGAAGAGAAAAATACAAGCCGAAATCGACTTTTAGCTTTCCCAGCCGACAGCCCCAACCCACCAGTGATAAAAAAAAACCGAGTTCTCCAAAATCACTGTCAAATCGTTTTGAAGGGGATAAACTGGTAAAAGTGCATGTTAGGCAAATCAAAATCGTATTTAGCTTGCTGCTGCCCAAACCCTTCGTCAAGAGAGTGAAATGTAGAGATTTTGACTCTTGGCTTCCTAAAATTCGCAAAAAAAAAAGACTGTAAATGAATGTATAGGGCAGCACGAGCACACGGTAACAGCTAGCAACGATTTTAAGTTAATATATTGCTAGCTGGGTTGGATGAATGCATGCTCGAAGCAGCAGCAGCGGCAGCGGCAGTAGTAGCAGCAGCAACAGCAGCAGCTCATTTCAGACGATCTCTCTCAAAGCATCTTCACAAAAATTGCACGCCTCGGAGCAGTCTATTTTTGACAGTAAAAAGTGACTTCTTCGCTGGTTTCAATGCGAAAACAGTGCTAGCAATAGGTAGTAGAGAGTTTGAAGCAACAGAAACACGCAAAAAACGTTCGATTATATCGGA